TGTAATAATATACTTATATACGAAATAACCGTGCGCTCACGAATAATTATGAACTTTCGTTTTTTCAACAGGGCGGGAACTAGAAACTGAGACCGAACGTCTTAGGCCCGTATTATAAAAAGATTCTCAGTGATGGATCAAGTCTTGAGCATAGTTAGTAAGGGATGTCTCTATATATAGCACATAGCGACATCCCTTTCTAACTATACTCAAGTAAAGATCAACATTTAGTTGTCCTTCTGTAATACGGGCTTTAATTCTTCAATTCATATTTTAAAACTAGATGCAACAAGCAAATGTCTGTAGTGCTGTTAAAGTTTTCCCCAGATCAGGCTTAAGCTTGAGTATGTGAGAGAACCGCGGCGATTAGTTGAATCTCTTCTTAATTTATAATTTTTAGTTACAATTTTCTTTTCCTACCTTAATAAAAAGCCCTATTTACCTCTCACTAACCGTCGAAAGTTCTAAGTCTTTAAGGTAGATTGATATTTTTTTTATACGAGGCGCACCAAATCCCCCCCCCCCCCCTCTCCAATCTGATGTTATGTGGAAAAGGAATTAAATTGCGAAGATAGATAATGTGGAAAGAAAGTGTGCCGCTCCAGTGCCATCATCACCTTGCCGGCCTGCGCCCAATCCCCCCACCCCCCGCGAAGTCCTGTAACCCTAATCATCAGCAGAAACACAACTAACAGAAGGTAGTATTATTTTACTATGGTATTCTGTAAGGTGGAGGTCGCTGTCCCAAGCGGGCGCTTCAATTCGAGCGGAAAATCCGCTGAGCCCTACCTCTCCTAGATATTTTGGTCTCGGGATAGGCAACACGCCAGTTATACTTCTTCATACCGCACATAGAGTCAAGGGGCTATTAGTTACCACATTCTATCAGACAAGTCATATCCAAACTTACCACAATTTCTATTCAAAAGATATGCATGCATTTAAAATCCACCAACACATAACTAATATTTTGTTCATCATACTATGCAACTTTTTTTATTTTTACATTACCGGATAGAAGCTCGGCTAATTCATCTTAGAAATGCATATAAAATTTCCTGCTGGAAACGGCGGCGGTAATATACGGGCCCTACGCCCAAAGTGCCCTTAATACTGTGCTCAAGTGGGCGCGGTTCAGAAGCTTTTCAGGGCCAACACTTCTAAGCCTTTTAATATCGTACCCTCAGTCGGCTCTTATCGGATCTCTTATAAAAGTTGCCTTTTAATACAGCACGTTCTAAACCGCTAAGCTTCTAACCGTTAATGTTGTCCTGGTACCCATTGTTGACTAAGATAGTTATAAGGAAAACTAGATTCTGTTTATCATTCATTATTCTTATAAGAAAATCTATATTTGCTTTTGTATAAAACTGCTTTTTGGTAGTACTTGGTGATTTTGGTTTTCTATATTGTGAAGGGTACTTCCCCATAAGACCGTTCTAATGAAGGCTAAAAACTTAACTCTTTGACATACACGCCTAGATACAGCAATCCCAATATACCAAACGCAAAAAAAAATCGTGCAATGTGTGCGTTACTCTAATGTCAGATTGTTAAAAAGCAGTCATGAGTGCATATGTAGCGACGACCTAATCTATGTACCAGATGTAGTAGAAATTTTGGGGCGCTTCCGTGCAGTTAATGCGGTATCTAGTTAATGGGTATGTATATAATCAAAGACTAAACTTTTTAAAATTCTTTCCAATAACTTCAAGTTTAGACAAGGCATTATTTTGCTTATTTTTTGACAACCAATATAATAAAGTAATAAAATATGGATGAGATATTGTCTTCCGTTCATGCGAAGTATAATTTTTTTCTCATATGATTTCTCAATCAGTCCTATCATGATATGTAAAAAAGCTCCGACTTGATATTACTAATGTGATAGAATTATTATGATGGATGGATGAGTCATCAACAGTTTTCTGCATATCTCACAATTTAGCATTACACCATTTCAGCAATACCATGATATCGTGTCTACGCACCATAGGGGAACAGTCATCGTGACAAACTTGCTCTGAGTTTAGAACCGACCCATAACAGTTCGGCTGTGGTAAGACGTAGTGTCCCCATTTATTGGCGGCATGCACGCACTGTCCTGTCACTATGACAGAGTGGGAAACAATATTGATCTATGGTATTATACATGCAGCGTGTTTTACATGGTGTCTGGACATGGCGAGGTCATAAATATAGTGTTATATCCATAGTTAGTTAAATAAGTCGCTGCTAGTTGAACAATAAATTTATCATAGATATTGAATTGAATCAGCAATTCTTTTTCAGCTTCTTATTTAGGTTTAGGGTAGACGCTTTTTGAAGAATCAAAATCAGTTTACGCTTATTTTTATTGACAAAAGTCGGATCCAAAACAGTTTTGATTTCTGTGCTAGATATCTATCACAATCAACATCATTGATCAAAAGTTCTACCTTTGGGCCAAATCCATCATACCGGTCGCCAACTGTGTTTCTTAAACTCTTACCTAAAATGTTACCCTCAGCAATAACGATCAATATAGTTAATTACCATACTTCCTAACACGAATCTCATCAAAAACCAAAACTTCCACTTTATCCTAGGAAACTGTACGTAAACTGAACGTGATAACTGATGGAGCAATAAAACAGCCAGTTTAAACTTGGTAAATTTCTGAGTTGCTCGACTGTCCTCATATTTCAACGGGAAAACTTTAATGCCGTCAAGTTTGTGAGTAATAGGGGCTTGTTGCCGACAATGCGGTTTAATCTGACGACAGCAAAACCTGCTCGTTTGTCCGCGGATGCTACTCACGAGGTCTGAAAGATGGTGCCTTAAAGGAAGCTACTTCGCTCACTTCCTTTTAAAAAAATACACATTAATCTAAAAATAAGAACCACTCTAAACACAAAGTACAAAAATCTGCATAATTTTATAGATAGGTCCGACAAATGACTCCACCCCACCTGATGTTAAGTGAAGTTGAAGTCCCGACGCGAAGATAGCTGATACAGCAGTTCTACCTGCCACAGCAGCCATCCTCACCCTGCCGGCCTGCATGTTCACGCCTCTTTTAAAGGATCCCAGGTTTTAAGGGGGAGGGAACACGTGAGCGGGCAGAGCATTCCATTTACGGATAGTACGACAAAGAAATGAGTCACCAAATTTCTTTGTACGCGTTAGAATTGTAGCCACAGTTTGATGGTAACTACGTAAGCCAGCGCGCGTGGTCCTCTGGAGGAAAGGGTAAGGTGGAATAAGAGAGAATAATTCCTCAGAACACTCGTTGTTGAAGTAGTACAGTCATTAGAAAATAAAGATTGATTGAATTGCACCAAAATGAACTTAAATATGAATCTCATGGCCATATCTTAACAATATAGCATTATGATATCATGTGTCAATTTTATTGGTAAAATTATTTAAAAATAATAAAAAAGTATTTTTTTTTAAAAACAAGCTTTTATTTAAATGCGCTTAAAGAAAAAAGAAACTTTTACATGGGGGCTCCCACGATTCTGGAACTCAATTCTCCACCAATAGTCTTTTATAGGACCATTTAAAACTTCATGATTGTTTGACATGAACTTCATCACAGCATGAAATCGGTACATAAAATGTTTAAAACTTTTCAACTAAATTAGTTAAAGATATCTGTTTCTAAATAGATTTTCAAATTTTAGAAGTCCGTCATATTGGATTGAGAATGACGTCACATTTTTTTCGAGTTACTCTCAGCAAGCCCTTTAATTTGATACCCATATTGTAGAATGCATTAAAAATGATTGGTCCGCCATTTTGGGTATGTCGCCATATTCGATTTAGAATGACGTCACACTGTTAATCATGTATTGTCATCCGAACTGAACGAGCATACCAAATTTCAGCTTAATCGGTTGAGGGCAAGTGCTTAAAAATTGAGTTGTAAGATTTGACCGTAACAAACATACATAGCAAGTTAAATAAAAGCTTGTAATTAAATCTAATTGTTTCTTTATACGACTACAGAAACAGCCGGGACCAACGGCTTAATGTGCCTTTCGAAGTACGAAAGAGCTCGAGAATACCTATTTAAATAATCAAAATCTTACTGAGAGACCGATAAATACATACTGATAAATCATATACAGGGTTTTCCAATAGTAACAGAGTATTTTCGACAGCTTATGGTGGACAAAATTTTCTATTGTTGATTACAAAAATTAACAAAAATAGCTTATTTCAGTAACTTAGCCTACTACAATGTATGAGTATCCTTTTAAGCAGTAAAATTGCTTGTGTTAGGATGCACCGCTCTTCCATAGTTTGGTTACAATAGGCCAATTGACAATCGGGGTGCTACGTCGGAAACCTTCACGTGAGCTCGGTCCATTTCCCATCCCATGGTATTCTTGCTGTGGGAATAGAAATGGATTTTTTTCGGGCCGGTGCATCCTGAGCGCCTGCGTATAGACTCCCACTGAGGGTTTCTATACAGAGGTGGCTGATATCCGACAGGGGTGGACTCGGCTGGCGTCCTGGGCATCTCGAGTAACGGCAGTCGAAATAGAGGTGGAGAGGGTCATTGAACCAGTTGGGACGAGTCCGGTTCCGGACGGAGCGGTTGTGGCGTAAACTCTGCGTCACTTCCAGTCAACCCGTAACCCTTGCACGTGGTGCAGGGTCGGGGGCTGCCACCCCTAGGGGTGGGAGCCGCGAGGAAGAAAACCTCTGTAAAAAATTACCTCTTTGTTTGTGTGTAGGTGTAGGGCTGCCTCGCCCGTAAGAGGCACTCCGAAATATGGCACTTGTTAAAAATACTGTATTTCCCCAGGTGGGTACCCGTGCACGCGGGGAGGCCCACCCTGGAGCTTCGGCTCCAGGCTGCCCCATGTATACTGGGGGGGGGCGACAAATGCCAGGTGGACAAATTAACGCTGGGTCCGAAGAAAAACTGCGTCTTAAGATTGAGAGGGGGAGGAGATGAGGAATCTAGAGTGCTCAGGAGTGGAAGGAAGAACAAAAGTACGCGTAAAATGGACGTTCCGGAAGATATTTCGATGATCCCACCGCATCAATGCTCTAGTGTAGAAACAGACAGAAGTAGGTCAAGAACACCTGTGCGACCTAGGAGTAGTACAGTAACTGATTTTGAAAAGGGCGATGGTGCTGGAATCAGTACAAACAACGTGGTGAAGGAGAATCAACCTTGCACAGTCCTCCAAGAATGTGTGATGTCCGACTCTTCGGTTTCCAGCATGAGGACAGCCCGTTCTGTTTCTAAGCAATCGAAACAGGGCAAGCTATGGCGAAAAAGATCTCGCCAGAATGGTGTCTCCGGGTCTGAATCGTCGGGGAGCGAACGCTCATACCACAGCGGCCGTTCAGGAACGCCAAATAAAAAAGGACGCGGGCGTCCACCCTGGCAAGCCGGGCACGACATCAGTTTAGCGCATGCTAAGGCTGAACTGGTAAGGGCAGAACGTGTGGAAAAAGAGTTGAGGGCAGAACAAGAAATGCTCGCCCCTATACAGGAGGCTCGAGCTGCCAGTTCCCGCTCCCAAATGTCAGTACTGCCAGCAATCAATACGGATAATGCCGAGACAGCAGCCATGTTAGTGTCCCGCGTAATGTCTAGCGTCGCTTCGATCGAGAAAGTCGCAGCCACCTCTGGCAGACTTAAGGGCACATATGTGAAGGCACTGAAGGAGGCAGCAGCAACGATTAAGGAAGACGCGAAAATACTCGCGATACGCAGCACTACTGAAGAGACACAGTCATTACAAAAAGAGAATGTTCAACTCAGAGCAGAAATGGCGGAGCTGCGAAAGGAACTGTCAGAGATAAAAGCAGCTCTGTGGCAGCGAAAGGAGACTCCCACATCCAGCCAGGGAGTCACTGAAGGAATAGTCACTCCGGCAATGCTGGAAGAGTACGAGGCACGTATTATGAGCAATTGGAGCGCCAGGCTCAATGCCCGCATTGAGGGTTTGGAACCGAGACTCAATCTGGCTCCTCGGTTACGTCCTCCGTTGGCTCATGAAAAAACTTGCGATGAAGTGGCATTGCAATCAATTGTGACTTCCGCTGAGGTCCTTAAGACCAAGGCTAAGCAGAAGCCCCAAACCACCCGGGTTGACCCTGAGAGAGATGCGTCACCTACTATCGATACTGGAGGAACCACTAAGAAAAAAGAGAAAGGTACTCGGAGGAGAAAACAAAAAAGAGGCCGGAAAGCAGCGGCTTCACGTTCTACTACTCGGGAGTCACGTAAGCTTCCTTGTGCCCCCGCTAACACGGACAAACAATGGAGTACTGTTGCCAAGGGGGGTAAACACAAGGAGGTTACAGATACACGACCCCTGAGGCAGGTGACATCCCAAAAACGGCAGCAACAGCAGTCACCGAAAATACCCTAGGTCAAAGATCTAAAGACTGCGGCAGTAGTGCTCACACTTTTACCAGGAGCGATGGAGAAGGGCCTTACAAACAGTACTATTATTGCAGAGGCAAGGCAAAAAATTGATATTGTGTCGCTGGGTATTACCTCCGTCCGTTTTCGAAGAGCCGTGACGGGGGCAACAATTATTGAGATTTCTGGGGCAGAAAATACTGCAAAAGCAGACACTATGGCTGCTAAACTGAAAGAGGTGCTGAATGCAGATATTGTGCGGGTATCTAGACCCGTAAAATGTACCGAAATTCTAATATCCGGGTTGGATGATTCGATTAGGGCAGAGGAGGTGACTGCGGCCATCGCAGGGTTTGGTGAATGTCCGGAAGATCAAGTTAAGGTTGGGGTCATCCGCCAAAGTTACTTTGGTATGGGCACAGTATGGGCGAGCTGTCCTGTTGCGGCTGCCAAAAAGATACTCGAGAGGAAACTGAAAATTGGCTGGACTGTGGCGCGGGTGAAACTCTTAGAACCTCGTGAAATGCGCTGCTTCCGATGCCTTGAAACAGGGCACGTGAAGGAACAATGCACCGCAAATGTGGATCGCAGCCGGCAGTGTTACCGTTGTGGACAGATAGGTCACAAAGCTGCTGAGTGCCAGTTGGCAGTACACTGCACACTTTGCGCAGAGGTCAGTAAACCGGCCAACCATCGTTTGGGAAGCAAATCGTGTTCGATTCCCAGACGTCAGATGTCTAGACGTAAATTTGTTGGTTCTGGGTTCTCTGCCCAATTGCAACCAGTATGTCCACCGAACGGGCCTGTAGAGATCGAGATGACCTTGGAAACAGAATGTCCCTAAGGTTTCTACAGGGAAATATCAATCATTGCATCAGAGCTCAGGACCTATTACTCCAGAGTATGGCGCAATGGAATATACAAGTGGTGATAGTAGCGGAGCCGTACTTGGTACCCCCTCGAGACAATTGGGTCGGTGATCTCCAAGGACTGGTCGCTGTAGTTACAGCCACGGGGGATAAAGCCCCTGCTATCAGAAAAACGACGAGAGGACAAGGGTTTGTTGCGATTTTGTGCGAGGAAATAGTGGTCGTTGGAGTGTACTTCTCACCGAATCGCCCGCTTCTGGATTTTGAAGGATTCCTGGCTAGATTAGATATCCTTCTGGGATGGTGTCGTCCACATCAGGTTCTGATTGCAGGTGATTTCAATGCAAAGTCAGTGGTGTGGGGATCCCCTGCCACAGATGCACGGGGTGAGGTTTTGGAGGAGTGGCTCTCCGCCAACAACCTTTTTGTCTTAAATCGCGGAACGACTAATACGTGCGTGCGGCAACAAGGCGACTCGATAGTAGATATCACAGTCGCGAGTCCCGCTTTATCCACCCGTGTTCAGAACTGGGTAGTTATGGAAGGAGAGGAGACACTATCGGATCATCGATACATACAGTTTGATGTCTCCCTCCATCAATCGAGACTGAACAGCTCAAATCATGCCGTGGCGGAAATCGGCCCGAGATGGGCCATTAAGAAAATGGACCGGGACACCTTTGTGACAGCTTCCTTGGTTGAAAGCTGGCCTGATGGGCCGGATAGAATTGACGCAGAGTCTGAAGCACAGTGGCTCAGTGAAACGCTGACGCGCATTTGTGATGCAGCCATGCCGCATGTCAGAAGGTTTCCTCCACGTCGACAGGTTTACTGGTGGTCTGCAGAACTCGCCCAACTTCGTGCAGCTTGTGTTACATCACGACGCCAGTACACCCGCTCCCGTCGTCGCCGAGGGCATGACGAAGAGGAGACATCTCGCCTTTACGCGTCTTTTCAACAAGCAAAGAAGGCGCTCCGTGCTGAAATAGGTGCCGCTAAAGAGCGAGCCTGGCAAGAGCTGATCGACACCTTTGCACGCGATCCATGGGGTAGACCATACAAGCTTGTAATGAGTAAGCTTCGGCCCTGGACCCCACCATTAACATGTACTATGGAAAGGGGTATGGTTGATAGGGTTGTGCAAGCCTTGTTTCCTGGGAGAGCTGATTTTGTAGCGCCTATGATGATCAGGCACGTCACACCACCAAGTGGGTTACAAAATGAGGTTCCAGAAGTTTCAGAAGCGGAGCTTGGTGCAGCCGTACTTCGACTACGGACAAAAGATACGGCCCCCGGTCCAGATGGTATTCCCGGAAAAGCCTGGGTGCTCGCTCTGAAGAACGGGCTCGAGCCGAGATTTAGATTCTTGCTGTCGGGGTGTCTGCGGGTATGTTTGTTTCCGACTAGGTGGAAGAAGGGGAAATTAGTTCTTATAAAAAAGGAGGGCCGTCCAATGGATTCACCATCAGCGTATCGTCCGATAGTGCTGCTGGATGAGGCTGGCAAACTGTTTGAGCGAGTCGTGGCTGCTCGCCTCAACCAACACCTTGACGAAGTAGGTCCGAATCTGTCTACCAACCAATACGGGTTCCGGCGAGGTAGATCCACCATGGACGCAATAGCACGGGTGAGGGCCCTTGCTGAAGAAGAAATTTCGAGGGGTGGGGTTGTTTTAGCAGTGTCCTTGGACATTTCTAACGCGTTTAACAGCCTTCCCCACGCCTGTATAAAGGAGGCGATGAGATACCACAGGTTTTCAACATACTTGTGCAAGCTAGTAGAAGTCTACCTTACGGACCGATCGGTCATATACCCTACAAACAGCGGATGGGATTGCAGGGAGGTATCATGCGGTGTTCCACAGGGGTCGGTCTTGGGGCCGCTCCTGTGGAACATCGGCTATGATTGGGTAATACGTGGTGATACTTTGCGCGGAGTCGATGTAACCTGTTACGCGGACGACACCCTAATAACAGCCCGCAGAAAAACTTACCGTGCAGCAAGTCTAATTGCCACAGCGGATACAGCACAAGTGGTGGGTCGCATAAGGCGGCTAGGATTGTCTGTAGCCCTCAATAAATCGGAAGCAATATGCTTCCATGGGCCACGCAATGCACCAACGGCAGACGCGCAAATCGTTGTTAGTGGAGTCCCCATACGCGTCGGGTCGACGATGAAGTACCTAGGAATCGTCCTCGACAGTCGGCGGAACTTCAAGGAACATTTCTGCAGATTAGCTCCTAAATTAATGAGAGTGGCGGGGGCCCTCTACAGGTTAATGCCCAACCTTGGCGGACCAAAGGACGGATGTCGCCGTCTTTTTGGTGGAGTTGTGCGCTCTATTGCACTCTATGGGGCACCCATATGGGTCGATTCCCTGACTGCCCATAACAAGACTCTTTTGCGACGAGCGCAGCGGGTCATGGCGGCCAGGATTATCAGAGCTTATCGCACTGTTTCTGGTGAGGCGGCATGTATAATAGCTGGCACACCTCCGTGGGAATTAGAAGCCGAGGTCCTTGCCACGGTATACCGCAAAACTGCGGACGCTAGGGCTCATAGCGGAAACCCTCTCCCTGAAGAAGTGATGAGTTGGCGCAGGGATGCCGAAGCAGTGGGACACGAAATGTGGAGGCAAATGCTTCAAGAGCCGAGTGCCGGACATCGCACTATTGAGGCTATTCTCCCGGTGCTTGATGAATGGGTGATGAGACGAAACGGTTCGCTCTCTTACCGCCTCGTGCAGATTCTTTCGGGACATGGGTGTTTCGGGAGGTATCTGTGCAACATTGCGAGAAGGGAACCAACAGTCATCTGCCATGAGTGTGGGGCGTCGGAGGACACAGCGCAGCATACGCTGGAAATATGTCCTTCTTGGGCACAGGAGAGGGCAACCCTTATAGCTGTGATTGGCAGCGATTTGTCACTTCCGGCTATGGTGCAAGCTATGGTCAGCAGCGTAGGGGCATGGAGAGCCATGAAAGGCTTTTGTGAAACGGTAATGGGTGGCAAAGAGGTTAGGGAGCGGTCCCGAGAGGAGGACCCCCAAGCAGACCCACTTAGACGCCGACGAGTTGGGTGACGACGCCGGGCATACGCCAGAGCGTTAGTGCCCTAAAAAATAACGCAAGTGTAGGGAGTAGCTGTCGCTTGGACGACAGTCAATGGAGTAGTGTGCGGCGACATACCTGTGTTTCGGTATGTCGCCGCCCGATGGAGTAGTGCGGAAAACCGCAATGAAGATGGGTCCCGATGCGGACGGAGTGATGGCTTGTGGAATTTTTGAAGACATGGCCTGGCTGTTACTTCGATTCCACGAACTATCGCTGAGGACGAAACACCGTGGGGTTTTAGTCGGTAGGCCCGTGCCTGCCGACAAGGGGAATTTATTTTTCGTCTGGTTGGTAGGCAGGGGAGAGTCCGACATAACCCGCTCACTCTCTAATGAGTGGGTATGCGTCAAGCATTTCCCCACGCAAAAAAAAAGGCCAATTGACAATCGGCCAAAGATGTATTTATAATAATGGATTACAATAATATATAGTTTAAGTATTTTTATTTTCACAATGATATCAAAATAATAACATAAACTAACAAAGATTACATACTTCTTTTTTTTTGATAGTATAAACATTTTCTTTTTTTTCTTTTTATACATAAATTTATCAGTTTATAAATTTCTTGGGTACAAGCATATTAGGCTGTGAACGTGTGTTTTGTGTGTGAGTGTGTCTTAGTACTTATGTGTGTAAAGAGGATTTAACGAGTTACTAGTGTATTTTGATAGATACTCTATTACAAGTTCGGGATTTTGTGCACCAGTCGCTATACAGTTGAGCAATGCGTTTAAACCATTAAAATGTAATGAGAAAACGTTGGTTCTATTCATCAAACGTTTCGTGCGTTATGGGAAACTTGTGTGTCGACTGGAGGACACTATTAGTCAAATAGTGAAATAATTTTTAAAGTACTGGTTTTGGGCTTTAAATCTTTAAAAGATTCATGAAAGGCCGTTGCATTCTGAAAGAGTGACTATCAGATGCGTATTTTGGGCTAGGGGCTTAAGTAGTCCGTATTTTTCGATAGAACGAGGTTGGTGCTACCTTTATTGTGAATTGGTGATCATCCCAGAATCGTA